TGCTGTCCACAATAATGGAGTGCTCAGTTTCTATTTTCCTTGATATCAGGTTTGAGTGACATCAGCGTCACATCTACGAGCTCACCAGAAGCACAGGATCGTGAAGGATGTTTTACAAATGATTAAAAAGACAAGGGAAGACACAGCTGTCAATGAGTTATTTCAAACCTGCACCCACGTCTACGTCTGCAAAAATAACCAGGATGATAATAATAATAATAAATTCATTTCTGCCTTTCGCTTAACGAGGTTAGTCAGGGAATCAGTCAGGAATTTGCCAGATTCTGGACAGCAGCCCTACTAGAATGAAATAATTAACACATGATATCCAAAAAGGGAACATTACCAGTGCAGTACTCTTCAATCTCTCAGAGATGGGATTACAAAAGCAGGCCTTACAATATTGAATTTCGTACAGTGTTCATTAAGTTCCTTATATATTCATATTAGCCGATTTAAACTTCTCCTAATTAGAGCCTCTCATTACTGCTGCTCCTCCTCCCCGTAGATGTCGTTTTTCTTGCGTTTCATCTCCTCAAAGTCGAACTCTGATCCCATCATCCTCTTATAAATATCTTTGATGTCGTCGCACGTCGTCTCGAAGTGGGTGGTGGCGTCGTAGGTGCGCGAGATGAAGATCTGCAAGGGGAAGAGGAGGTTGGAGCGGAGCGGGCAGCGCGGCGGCTCCCGGCTCCGGCGGCGCCGGCGCTCACTCACCTGGCTCTCGGTGCCCAGGTCGGTGGGTGCGAACAGGTCGCTGATGCTCACGAACCTGCGGGAGGGACACAAAGCTCTGAGAGCGGCCGAGGGCGGCGCTCGGGGCGCGGGGATGGAGCGGCTCCGGGCGGCCCCAGAGGGGACGGGGCTGGCTGGGGACTCACTTCTGCTCGATGGGCTCCAGGAGGTCCAGGGCTGGCTTGATCTCCTTCTCGGGCTCGGCGGTCTCCACGGTGGTGCTGGCGATGGCGATGTACTTGCCCTGCGCCGCCACGTTGTGCGCCGAGGAGATCATGCACACGTAGATGTCTGCGGGGACGGGGCACAGCTGCAGCCACCGACCGCCCAAAACCTTCTCCAACCTCATCCCAGAACATCCTCAGCCCCGTCCCAAAACCTTCTCCAGCCCCATCCCAAAACATCCTCAGCCCCATCCCAAAACCTTCTTCAACCTCATCCCAAAACTGCCTCAGCCCTGTCCCAAAACTTCCAGCCCCATCCCAAAACATCCTCAGCTGTGTCCCAAAACCTTCACCAGCCTCATCCCAAAACCTCCTCAGCCCCATCCCAAAATCTCAGCCCCGTCCTAAAACCTTCTCCAACCTCATCCCAAAACCTCCTCAGCCCCATCCCAGAACATCCTCAGCCCCATCCCAAAACCACCTCAGCCTCATTCCAAAACCTCCTCAGCCCCATCCCAAAACCTTCACCAGCCCCATCCCAAAACCTCAGCCACATCCCACAATCTCCTCCAGCTTCATCCCAAAACCTTCACCAGCCTCATCCCAAAACCTCCTCAGCCTCATCCCAAATCTCCTCAGCCCCATCCCAAAACTCTGCCTGTGCCTCTTCCCACTTCCCTGACACTTGGCACCCCTGGATTGTCCCAAGAACCTGGAATGACTCCTTGCCCTTTGTGCTCCCATCTCCTGCTCCAGCAGGGGCTGGATTTTGGGACATCCCCAAAATTCCGTTTCCCCGATGGCTCCTGAAATCCCGGGGGATTCCCAGGGCTGTCCCAGGCTCTGGCAGCCCCTCCCGCACCTCTCCCAGTCTGGGGCACTTCCTGCCCAGGTTCCTCAGGAGCTTTTCCGAGCACAGCTCCTCCCACCTGCCCTGACTGCTCTGATCCAAAACTCAGCCTGGCTGCAGCTGAAATCTCCTGGAGGAGACCATGAAATGTCCATTTCCCTGTCTGGAGCCTCAAATCTCCTGGAGGAGATCAGGGGGTTCCCATTTCATTCTCTGGAGCCCCAGATCATCTGGAGCAGACCATGAAATGTCCATTTCCCTGTGTGGAGCCCCAGATCTCCTGGAGGAGATCAGGGGGTTCCCATTTCCTTCTCTGAAGCCCCAGATCTCCTGGAGCAGACCATGAAATGCCCATTTCCCTCTCTGGAGCCCCAGATCTCCTGGAGGAGACCATGAGGTGTCCATTTTCCTGTCTGGAGCCTCAAACCTCCTGGAGCAGGCCAGGAGGTGTCCATTTCCATCTCTGGGACCTAAAAGTTTCTGGACAAAGCCATGTAATGTCCATTTCCCTGGCTGGAGCCCCAAATCTCCTGGAGCAGACCAGGAGGTGCCTGTTTCCCTGTGTGAAGCCCCAGATCTCCTGGAGCAGACCATGAAATGTCCATTTCCCTCCCTGGAGCCTCAAATCT